GACAACTAGTGGGAAAAAATTTAAGGGGTGATTCTTTCAGGCAAAATAAGACGAAAATCAAGAATAACGAAATAGCGAAAAATGCTTCGTTTGTTAGTTACAAGCGTTTAAAAATTGACCCAAATCATGGCAATCCGCGCGCACGGAGTGTTAGCGGATCATGGCTCATCAGGGGCGTACAGTCACTTTAAAGACTCAACGACGTGCAGGAAAAGTCCGTAGAACAGCTGTTTACTTACCCCGTAGAAGATGTCGATAATTTCTGCCCGCGGTCTTTGAGTCGAATCCACCTGTATCGCATTAACCCTGATTACTCGATAAATATCGCAAGAAATGTAAATATCTTCTTAAGAATATTATCGAGTAGAGAGGGTTAATTCCCCCTCTAGTTGTCACTTATCACAATTGTCCTGTCCACGAGTATCCATGGAATTAATCCGCACATACACGTACACCAAAGAAGTCCGCGAAAAGTATCCACACACTGAGCGGTTGTCACATCCGCGAAAAATGTCCATACACACTGCGCGATTATCCCGACCGCAAAAAATGTTCACACTCTGCGCGATTAAGTAGACCCGCGAGCTGTTGCTCCGTTGGGTTTAACACTCTACAGGTTACACAAAACTAACACTCAAAATAATTAATTTGAAACTATTTAACACTAATTTTTACCCTACACTAATTAATTTATTACAATTATTTATACTAATTTTTAACAGGCCATAATTAATAAAACCTACAATATTTAATAAAAGCTGCAATAATGAATAAAATCTACAATATTTAATAAAACTTGCAATAATTAATAAAATCTACAAAATTCAATAAAACCTACAATAATTAATAAAATCTACAATACTTAATACAACCTACAATAATTAATAAAGCTCTCAATAATTAATTTGCACTATTTATAACGACGACATACGTGACACTACTAAATAATTACTACGTAATCGCTATTTAAATTAAAACTTAATTTTCTGAACATGAATGCAAAGGGCACCGTTCGGAAAGGACGACTGATATTGTTGAACTGATCCTCCCTCGTCAGGATCGGTGTGGCGTAAAAGATCGATCCCCACTCTTTCATGGTAAATACATTTTGGGAAGGAAAAACTGCATGGGAAAGTGTCTTGGAGGTTGCGTTTCTTTCGTATATTCTTAGATCAACATCTGTATTTTTTTCTCATACACCATTCGGGGCCAATTGACCATGATGCCGAGGGTGTGCGAGTCTGAATATTATAAAACTGTCTCTTGTCTTCTGCAGTGCGACCACCCGCGGAATGCCTGCAATGTGTTCCTGCCATCGACGAAGACCTTGCCCCTTGTTTTCGGCCGTCCCTCTTGAAATTAACTTGTAAAAAGAACTTCCAACCTCGAATTCCACCTCCATGTTAGAAATGATTCATATTGCCCAGAATGTATGTGTTTAACAATTTCCTTTATTTTATTTTATGTAGTTTCTTCATGCATCGTAGTGCAGGTGCGGCAAATTTCATCTTAGTTTCATTCTAATATTATTATACGTTTTGTATGATCCATGTTAATTGCATATTATTTTTTTGCGGAAACAAGAACCTCAAACACTTGGAGTAAGAACGAAGTGGTGGTAAAATATGCAATGCACATAAAACATACAGTAAATCAATATTCAATATTTCACGATTAAAGATACATATTATCCTATCGAGCGAAGCTTCGAACGATAAGCAATTAACGCATGCGCTCGTTTAAAAACATCGTTCGGCACCCCGTGACGGAGGGCAAATTCGTCCACACAGTCACACCCTAAATGTAACGTCATTCAGGTATGAATGACACAAGCCGCTTACGGTCGACCGACGAAGGCGGCTTGCTACCTGAAACGGAGCGCGCCGCTGTTTATTCCTGAAATATTGAATATGAACTTACTGTATGTTTTATGTGCATTGCACATTTTATTACCACTTCGATCTTACTCCAAGTGTTTGCGATTGTTGTATCCGAAAAAAAAAAATGCAATTAACATGGATCATAGAAAACGTATAATGATATTAGAATGAAACTAAGATGAAATTTGCCGCACCTTCATTACGATGCATGAAAAAACTACATAAAATAAAATAAATAAAATTGTTAAACACATACATTCGGTGTAATATGAACCATTTCTAACATGGAGTTGGAATTCGAGGTTGAAAGTTCTTTTTACAAGTTAATGTCAACAGGGACGGCCGAAAACACAATATGCAAGGTCTTTGTCGATGGCAGTAAGACGTTACAGGCAATCCGCGGGTGGTCGTCCTGCAGAAAACAAGAGACAGTTTTATAATGTTCAGACTCGCACACCCTCGGCATCGTGGCCAAGTGGCCCCGAGACCCCGAGTGGTGTATGAGAGAAAAATACAGATGTTGCTCTAAGAATATACGAAAAGAAACGCGACCTCCACTTTCCCATGCAGTTGTTCCTTCCCAAAAAGTAGTGACCATGAAAGAGTGGGGATCGACCTATTACGCCACATCGATCCTAACGAGGGAGGATCAGTTCAACAATATCGGTCGTCCTTTCCGAACGGTGCCCTTTGCATTCTACGAGCAAATAGAGTTCACGTTCGGAAAACTAAGTTTTAGTTTATTTAGCGATTACGTAGTGATTATTTAGTAGTGTCGCGTATGTCGTTGTTATAAATAGTGCAAATTATTTATTGTAAGTTTTCTTAATTATTGTAGGTTTTATTAATTATAGCGTGTTAAAAAGTAGTATAAATAGTTGTTATAAATTAATTAGTGTAGGTTAAAAATTAGTGTTAAATAGTTTTAAATTAATTATTTTGAGTGTTAGTTTTGTGTAACCTGGAGAGTGTTAAACACAACGGAGGAACAGCTCGCGGGTCTACCTAATTGCGCAGTGTGTGAACATTTTTCGCGGTCGGGACAATTACGCAGTGTGTATGGACATTTTTCGCGGACGTGACAGTCGCTCAGTGTGTGTGAACACTTTTCGCGGACTTCTGTGGTGTACGTGGATGTGCGGATTAATTTATTATTAATTAAGATATTTACATTTCTTGCGAATTTTATTGAGTAATCAGAGTTAATGCGAGACAGGTGGATTCGACTCAAATACCGCGGGCACAAGTTATCGACATCTTCTACGGGGTAAGTAAAAATCTGTTCTACCGACTTTTCCTGCACGTCGTTGAGTCTTTAAAGTGACTGCACGCCCCTGATGAGCTGTGATCCGCTATCACTCCATGCGCGCGGATTGCCATGATTTGGGTCAATTTTTAAACGCTTATAACTAACAAACGAAGCATTTTTCGCAATTTTATTATTCTTGATTTTCGTCTTATTTTGCCTCAAAGAATCACTCCTTAAATTTTTTCCCACTAGTTGTCGAACACCCTGTATAGACTGAAACGAAAATGCTGTATTTTTGAAGCAATAATTGTTATTCAATTGAAATATGCTCGGGATGGGGTAATAGCTTTCTACAAACGAAATACGAACGACACATGTTATTCTTATAGAAACTGGTGTTTTTATGTTGTATAAATTCTTCAAATACTGCGGCTACCGGTTCTCAGTTGGGGAACGTAGAAGGGGTTCTGATAGAAAGGGTTCCATATGTTATTAATGGTAATCTTCAATTAATACAATTTAAATTCATATAGGAAAAGTACCCCAAACTATTTATTTTATTTAATGTTGCTTACTTCTATAGATTAGTCAAACAATCATAGAAATAATTTAATAATTACAAGAAATAAAGAATCACACTACTGCTATCGCTTCTGCAACAAATGTAGATCATATTTAATTTACTAATCACAGCTGAGCGTCGAATATTCAAATATCGACGATTTCGTATGATCTAGAGTCTAGACTAATATTCAGAATTAACTGATTTTCCTAGAAATGACATTAAAATTAATTAATGTGTATGGGTACATCTCTACAGACTCTATGAACAATTTTGGTTTTACTAAAACAGATAAGGAGTACGATCGTGCGGATCGGCAATCAAACGGTTAATGTGCAGTGTTAAGTATTAGTTTGTACCATATGAAATTGCCTTGTCTGTAGGTCGAAACGGAAACGTATTTCTGAACGCATAATATTTATTCGTTTGAAGCGTGCACTGTGAGAATTAATAGCTTTCTGTGAACGAGATATTAGCTAATGAATTACATTATAATTATGAATTGCATTATATATTATGAAATATTTTGTAGTTTTTGGACTGTGTGAATTTTTTAAATACTATAGTTGCCAACTTTTTATTAACGAATGTTTCTTTCTTAGTCAGAATTCTGGATGCCAGAAAAAATGCGTCTGCCAAGGACACACCTGGTGAGTGTTGCGAAAGATGGAAATTTTCATAATTTCATTCAGTTAACTTTATTATGGCACTGTGTAGCTCATATTAGAAAAATATCCAAAACCATAACTTTGGTAGCCTATGATTTGTTCATGTGAAGTAAAAGAATTCAATAATAATCAAAGAAAATACCACAATATTTAATATTTGATACTCAATACTCAATACTCGATACTCGATACTCGATACTCGATACTCGATAGTCGATATTGGATATTTGATATTTGATATTTGATGTTTGATGTTTGATGTTTGATGTTTGATGTTTGATGTTTGATGTTTGATGTTTGATATTGTGTCACTCGGTACTGCTAAGGATCGCGTCAGGACGCATGGTGAGAAACAGAAGAGGTTATGTCGCGAACGTGAGGCTTGTAAACCCGGCGTTACTAGTGCATTTTCGCGCAGTGAACGACTGTACACATGGTAATCGACGCGACGACACAGACAACCGATAACAGTGGCGAGATTAAAAGGCGGAAGTCTAGCAAGGAACAGAACAGGAAATCCTGTGGGAATTTCGATTGTTGTTCACATCGTTGCCAAATTCGACGGATATCACTTATTCAACGAATGACTGAACTTTTTCCAACCACTTTAATATTTTTTTGGTTTTGCAATATCTGTTTACCTATCCAAGATCCAAGTTCTCGATCCGCATGCATTGTACCATTGTCTTCGGCCAATTGTGGTAAGAGAATAGCACTGTAACCAATTGGCATTCCAGAACCAGCTGCTAATAGTAACACTGCACCAGATACCAAACACTAAAACAGGGTAACATATATACATATTATATACAAATATAGAAAGTTTATCAAAGTAGGGGAAATTCTCACTGGATGAATTCTAGACTTCAAACTAATCGTAAAAATTTATATGCAGAAATATCTGATCATCCGCTTCGTTAATTAGTCATCCATAATTTTTTATTTTTAAAATACTGTACTAAAAAACCAGTAAGTAGACAATTTCATAGTAAAATGATACCAAGGAAGTTATACACCAATTATATCGCAGAAAATTAATACCAAGTACTTAAAATTTCGATAGCATTCGATATTTCACCGAAAGCGAGCTTCCCTCATGTAAAAGTATCCGTTCACATTAGAGCAATCGTCAACTGCAACTGCAATTTTATTGCGAAATTGCCTGACTAGAGATGCTTCATATGATCATTTTTGGAATGAAAAGCTGTCTACAACTAAATAATAAAGAAAGATGGAAGACTTTTGCATATGAACTTGTATGATTATTTTTACGTCTAGAATCCACCTTGTGAAAATGTTTTTTATTTTTATTAACACTCTGTACACTTATTCAAAATAGTTCATCTAAGGGATCTACCCTGCTTTCAGGCCTTCAATTGAAGGAAGACCACCCACCTAAAAATCAACTTCTAGTTATTTTCTAAACATAATTTTGTAATACACACGTTTTTGCATACTATTTCACGTCCAACAAAATCATCTAAGGATTCATTGCATAACAAATTCTTCCAGCAATTCTTTCAAACATATTCAACAACAATGTTAGAATTGTAAAATCAGCACCCTTACTTCTTTAATAGTTCGTACACAGGACCTATTTTAAGCCAAATTTATTAGCTTGCAAACATTACTGTTGTTGGAGTTATTTTTTAATTTGTAAATCAATATAGGAAATGCAATGAATATGAGGAATCATTAATCACAGAATTATATGAACTTCTACGTAACGTAAACAGATATCAGAGTTAGGCAAAATGTAATCTACTCACATAATCCAAATTACAATTACAATGTGACTGCAATGTAATTGCAAGACAATTACAATTACATTTCAATTTTACAATTACATTGTAATTTATGACTACATTGTAAATGTAAATGTAATTGTAATTGTAATTTAGACTTTGTAATTACATCGTATTTTGCCCAACTCAGACAGATATAAAGGGTGTTATCCAAAATGTTGGACATTTTCTTAGGGTGCATTCTACATGCCAAACTAACAAGGGAAAGTACAGAAGTGTCCTCCTCTGATTTTGATGAAACTTCGTATGTCTGTTAAGCAGTAAAAAATAAGGGATACGTATTTTTTTATCGGCTGAGACGAGACTGTAAGGGGTAAAACCACGCCTCGAAATTTCGACCCGAAAGTACTATCTCGAAAACCAGAGGAGATACGTGGAAACTTCTAATGGACGAAGTTTGTGGTTTTTTATATAGAATAATATGGTGCTAACAAATTGTCCATCATTTTATTTGTTTATAACAAAAAAATTTTTTACAACTTTATTTTACAACTTATTCAAGTTTATATAATAGCAAACAGTAACTGTTTGAACTTGTATTCGGTCGGCCGCTTCTGTTCGGCTCCTCGTGCGAAGGCCGTGTATGTTTGTGTCGCGGCGTAGGGGGGACGGGGACATCCGCATTCTACCTGCCGCCGTGACCGTGAGCGTCGACCGAAAATCAACATCGTGTCGCGTCAAGTTCACTTCGATCGCTCGACATCGGTTCAGTTCGCTTTGTCCTCTCAAAACGCGACCACGCGTTTCGTATAGTGCTCCTCAACCGCGAACACGTCACGAGCCGTTAAAGCCACATTCCGTGGTTCATTCCCAAATGTCCGAGAGTTGTGCCGCGAAAACCAGTCGTTTTCCGCGCTCTCGCGATTAATTACCGAAACCTGTCGTTTCGCTCCCGAGGCCACGCATCCGAAACCCGTCGTTTCCGAGCCGCCGTGCCCTCGTCTCCCTTCCCTTTCATTCCTTCATCATCCACTTCCGTCAAAGGATACTGCGATGATGAAACCCACTCTGTACTGAGTGATCTCCTCAGGGTCTGAGCAGATCTGGACAATTCCACGTCCTTTCCTCTCCCCCCTTGTTAGTGTATCGTCTTCTCTATCTCCGTAAAACGCCGGATTTACGACCCGCGCGTCCGCAACGTAAAACGCCGGATTTACGACCCGCGCGTCCGCAATCAACACTTGCGTTAATTTCTTTCACTGTGCGTCCTCGTCGGGACGGTCCCGGCATCCCGCTCGGATCGCGGTGACCCTCCGCGATTCGAACGAAACATTTGGTCCTTCGAGCCGGATCGCAGTGAGAGTTTGTAGCCGTGTTTGTCGAGGGTGACCATGGCCGACCTTCTCGCCACGCAGTCGCAGCTGATGCGATCCCTCGACCGTTGACTCGACAACTTCAAAAAGATCGGGAAGAACAATTACACGCCCGCGAAAATTCGCAATAGAGTCAGTGCTCTAAAGGAACTCTGGACGCAAATTTGCTCGACGCATGTCGAGATCACAAAGAAAGTTCCAGCCGCCAGCCGAGAGTCCCTCGATTACTTCAAGGGAAGTCATTTCGACCTCGCCGAGGAAAGGTATCAGGTGACGTCGGATTATATGGCGGAATGTTTGGAGGTTCTGGATCCTTACGTAAGTCCGAATCAGTCCTCTAATACGAACGCCGCGAGCACCGGATCTGCAGCGGCAATTCCCCTCCCTCAGTTGCCGCCGATAGATTTACCGCCCTTCGACGGCACTCTTGAAAAATGGGAGACATTCCGCGACCGGTTTACGTCTTTAATTATCGACAATCCGTCGCTATCAAACTTTTCGCGAATGCATTATCTCGCGTCAAGTGTAACCGATCGCGCGTTCACTCAGATTCAATCGCTCGACGTGACCGCTGATAACTTCTCCATTGCATGGAACCTTCTTAAATCGCGCTTCGAAAATAAACGTCGGCTAATTAACGCGCATATGTCGGCCCTGTTAAATCTGCCTAGCGTCCCGCGCGAATCATTGTCTAGCCTCCAGTCACTTCGCGATGCCGTTGTCGCAAGAATCGCGTCGTTAAGCAAGCTCGAACGTTCTCCAGCAGAGCTTTGGAACGACATTCTTGTTTGCATCGTCTCGCAACGGTTAGATCCAAATACTCGGAAGGCTTGGAATTTTAAATGTGGCGATGATAGCCAGCCGCAGTCGTTCGATACGTTGTGCGACTTTATCGACGCTCGCCTTCGTGCCTTAGAGGAATGGCAGATCCCTGCTTTACCATCCGAGAGTCTCACAAGATCTTCTCGGAAGATCACTGCCGCGACAGTCTCAACTCAACCGTCGCTTCGATGTTGTCTTTGTGAAGCCAATCACAAACTGTTTGCTTGTCCACGCTTTCTTAATAAAACGCCTATTCAACGTCGCGAGTGGATAAAAGGTGCGAACCGCTGCAATAACTGCCTCAGCGCGCGGCATAATTCAAGGGATTGCTCGAGTAAATTTACGTGCAGACGATGCAATCAAAAGCACAATACGCTGTTGCACGACGATTCGCGTTCAGTCTCGAAAACCGAGAAAGCAACCGCGCATAATTCGGTCGTAATGAACGAGAAATCCACCCCCGATGAAGTGCTCTCGTTGTCAGCATCGGCGGAGAATTGTTCGCGATCCCACATACTATTGGCAACCGCGTGGATTAATGTCGCTTCTGTGTCCGGTCGTACGATCAGCGTGCGTGCGTTGCTCGACCAAGGTTCCGAAATGACCTTCGTCACCGAACGTCTCGCGCAGCAGTTGCGTTTAACTCGAATGCGTATGCCGATTTCTGTTTCTGCCGTCGGTGGTGTCAATGCCGGAACTGTACGTCACGCAGTTCAAATCGCGATAACTCCTCGGAACAAATCGACTCCGAAAATTACAACGACAGCTCTCGTTCTTCCAACCTTAACGGCGTATTTTCCGCGGCGCGTTCCGGGAGGTTCAAGTCTAAATCAATTTCGCGACCTCTCCTGGGCGGATCCTGATCCTATGGATTCGCATCCGATCGATGTTCTCATCGGAGCAGATCTTTACGGTGAAATCCTCCTTGAGGGACTACGAAAATCTACCGTAGGGCGACCGATCGCCCAAAAGACTATTTTCGGCTGGATCTTGTCCGGCCCTGTCACCGGGTCGACCGTGCCATCACACGCACGAGCGATCACTTCAAATCTCGCGCAAGCGAGTCCTCTTTTGCCTGCCCTTCATTGTTTGAACTCTCTGGCCCTCGATACCGAAGTCCGTAAATTTTGGGAAGTCGAGGAAATTCCTCATCGCCGCATTCTAAGTCCAGGCGATGAACAATGCGAGGAACATTTTCTGCGCACTCACTCTCGCGATTCTGACGGCCGTTATATTGTTCGCCTCCCATTCGAGCGGGGTCCTCCTATTAACCTCGGAGAATCCCTCTCGAGTGCCGAACGAATTCTAAATAGTCTATGCCGCCGTCTTCAGAGCAATCCGGAGTTGGGGCGTGAATATTCCGAATTTCTTTCCGAGTATGAGAGTCTCGGTCACATGACCGAAGTTTCACGCTCGCTGTCAAGCGGTGATCAATGCGTGTTTATCCCGCATCACCCTGTCATACGTGAAAGCAGTACAACTACGCGACTGCGCGTCGTTTTCAACGCTTCGTGTCTCACTTCAAACGGATCATCATTGAATGACCATTTGCTCTCGGGTCCTAAACTCCAAACCGAATTGACCGCCGTAATTTTGCAATGGCGTCAATTCCGTTTCGTGTACACTGCCGACATCGCCAAGATGTATCGGCAGATCCGTGTCGATCCCCGCGATACTTGCTATCAGCAAATATTGTGGAGATCCAATCAGTCGGAAGATGTGCAGTGCTTTAAACTGCAAACTGTCACGTACGGAACAGCATCCGCGCCGTATTTAGCGTTGCGAGTTCTTAAGCAACTCTCTCATGATGACGGGCATGAATACCCGCGTGCGGTGT